AAATCTCTATGCCTCTCTCTAAAGCAGAACGCATATCTACTGGTTTAAGAATAAGTTTAATCATTAAAATACAATTTAATCGAACAATGAACCATACACGTTTTTAAGAGCGTCATGCCACAAACCACGGCCCGGTGTCTATAATGAATGCCTTCGAAGGTGAACTTTCATGCTGCCCTGGTGCGCGAAAGTCTTGCCGCACTCGGTGCACTTGTAAGGCTTCTCTCCCGTGTGAGTTCGCTGATGTGTGCGCAAATTACTCGTTTGCGCAAATTTCTTGTTGCACACGACACACTCGTACGGCTTCTCTCTTGTGTGGGTGCGGAGGTGAACAACTAGACCGTGAGCCTCCGAACACTTGTAGTCGCACTCGGTGCACTCGTAAGGCCTCTCCCCCGAGTGCGCTCGCTGATGTTTAAGCAAATAACTGCTTCGCGAAAACTTCTTGTTGCACACGACACACTCGAACGGCTTCTCTCCTGTGTGGGTGCGGAAATGATTTTTAAGTTGTACACTTTCTCCAAATTTCTTGTTGCACACACTGCACTCGAAGGACTTTTCTCCTGTGTGGGTGCGGATGTGTGCACGGAGGTTCGAACTGGTCTGACATTTCTTGTTGCATACAGAGCATTCGTGTTTATAGTGCTGCTCTCCCGTATGGACGCGAAGGTGAGTACGCAGACCGCTAGAATGCGCAAACTTCTTGTCACACAATGCGCAATCATAACGCTTCTCACCCGTGTGGATGCGGAGGTGCACTCGCAGACTGACACCCGTCACAAATTTCTTGTCGCAGAGCGTACACTCAAATGCCTTTTCTCCTGTGTGGGTAAGGCGGTGTACGCGCAGATGACAACTGGCTGAAAACTTCTTGTTGCACAAGTCACACTCGAATGGTCTCTGCCCTGTGTGGATACGATTGTGCGTTTTCAGACTGCTAGGTACCGAGAATTTCTTGTCGCACAACGTACACGCATACGGTTTCTCACCGGTATGAGAACGTTCATGTATTCGGAGATGTTCCCCTCTGCTAAAACTCTTGCTGCAGACACCACATTGAAATGGCTTTTCTCCTGTGTGGGTTCTGACATGTGAGTGCAGTTTTCCACTAGTGGTGAATTTCTTGTCGCACAACGTACACCCGAAGGGCTTCTCCCCGGTGTGGGTACGAAAATGTATTTGCAGATGAACCCTTTGCGAAAATTTCTTATCACACGTAGTGCAGTCGAAAGGCTTCTCGCCTGTGTGGATTCTGAGATGCACTTCCCGTATGCTTTTTGTTGCAAATTTCTTGTTGCACACATTGCACTCGAATAGATTTTTTCCTGTGTGAATGCGAAAATGTTTTTTCAGATTACCCCTTTGCGAAAATTTCTTATCACACATAGTGCAGTCGAAAGGCTTCTCCCCTGTGTGGATTCTGAGATGCACTTCCCGTTTGGCATTCGTTGCAAATTTCTTGTTGCATACATTGCACTCGAATCGCTTTTCTTCCGTGTGGGTTCTCATGTGAATGGCGAGATTTGCAGCTTTCTTGCCGCAATCATCGCATTGAGTCAGCATGCTGATATCCGTCAGAAATACCTGTAAAGGAAAATATTTTAGATTTTATGTTTACTATGTCGACATTCATGAGATCAGTGTTACGACAGAAACGTTTCCTGGAATGGCCTGAACAGGAATGAAGGAGAAAGAGTTCTGTAACGACCACACATACACTGTGAAAGCCGACGAGTAACCCCAGTTTCAATGTTACATTATGCTGATGCAATGTACCAGGTGGCTGATTTCTCTGATTCACCCCGCTCACTTTTGTACTTATACTGTAACGCACGCACGGGTTCGAGCGGGCTTGACTACCGCCCCTGTCAACGGCACCTTACGAGCCGGGTGAGTAAGTAGGCAACCCACCAGCACTTGTAAAGAAGTGAGCCTGGTGTAACAACACCATACCAGGCGGCTTCATACTGTACCGCATGAACGCGTGCGGGCGGGTATGCCTATGCTCGCTGCTGCGCACGGCTTCTTATGGCCCCGTGCGAGGAGGCGACCCGCCTGCACGCGTGCATGCGGTACAGTATAACTGCAAAAGTGCGCGGCGTGAATCAGCCACCTGGTAGAGTCGCCGTTTGGGTCTGAATTCTGGGCCGACGCCGCCCTTTGCGATTTTAGCGCTTGGGCCAGGTGGACCCACCCAAGTCTTTGTTCAGCAGACCTATGCGGCCCACGAGCGAATTAGTCGGGTCAGGCAGACCCAGTTCGGGCCGTCTGGACCCACCCGACCCGTGCTGGGTCTGCTGGACCTGCATGGGCCAGACCGGCCCAGCCGACACAGACCTGCATAGTGTCTTCCCCTCAGCCCGCGTCTCCCCAGGGCTGCCAGGTCCGGAGTGAGTCGAGTCGCCAGAAGAGGGCGCTCGAGTCGCCAATCGTCGCCAGCCGCCCAAGTCGCCAAAAATCGCCCGCCACAGATTCAAATCGCCAAAAATCGCCAACCTTTTAGTGGGATAGCCAAAAAACAAGCAAGGTAAAAATGAACTCGGGTAGCACCAAAGAGTCAGCAAATGTGACAATGTAGCGAGCTGCTGGGCCCATTTCTTAGAAATTCATCTCCCCCGAGCCGGGAAAGTACTCAATCCCTTCGTAATCCTCCCTTCCGTGGGGTCAGGTAGCCCGAGTCGCCCAGGATCGCCAAACTTGGAGCTCAGTCGCCAAAAATCGCCAGGCCAAAACACGAATCGCCAAAAAAATCGCCTGGCGCCAGGCCGTCTTTTCAAGTCGCTAAACCCCACCTAAAATCGCCAATTTGGCGACAAATCGCCAAACCTGGCAGCTCTGCGTCTCCCTGCCCCTCACCCACGATTGACAGCAGACGTCGTAGTGGCGGACGGGTCTACTGTTCTGCCGCTTGACCCAACGAGTAGTATGCTGGGCCAGACGGGCCCGAGCGGGCCCGTCTGACCCGACATCGCCTAGCGCTTGGCCACGCTGGACCCGCGCTGGTCTGACGGACCAGTGTCTCAGACTTCTACTATTTCTACACCAAAAATAATCCGTAGATAGAGGCTGGGTCACTCGGGCCGCCCAAACGGCGCCTCTACCACCTGGTACAAAACTCGCTGTCACTGTCGACTAGCGTGTGTTCTGCAACCTTGGCACTGCAAATTATCTTGCGCAACAATTTATGAACGAATGAAAAGTGAGTAAAGTGAACTTAAACCCCTCCGCCTCTAAATTGTACTAGAAAAAAGTTCTCGAATTGAACCCCTTTCAATGCTTTGGCATGTGTAGATATTTGCTGCAGTTCGACTCCTTGTTGTGGCAGAGAACACACTAGATAAAAAAGTGGAGGATCCACAGCGCTGCCATTTCTAAGCCGCATAAAACAGTATTTTTGTTTCTCGTAAAAACTCGATTTTTTTTTCCCCGCTTCCTGGACCAACTCCAGAAGTGCGTGGGACCCATGAGCCAGCTGGTAGTTGGGGGAGGGGGTGGAATTTAAGGCACTAATGTAAGCTACCTCATCGCAGGGATCGTACCTGAGGTCGGTTACTGTGGGGTCGCGGTCACGGACAGGTCACGGAGCCGCCCTCGACGAACACGTCCCGCTGGCGTCGTGTCGCTCAGCCAACTAACTCGGGGCCGGGTCCTCGGCCCGCACCACACCACACCACCACCCCCACCCGCTGCTCGCCAGGATCCCGTCGTCCAGGCGCCCCCTCGTCGAGGCCGCCAGGCCCGCAGCCCCACCTCAGTGCACGGGCCAGGGCAGGACCATGCTGAGGACACCCGGGGAACCCCCGGGCCGCAGGGTCAGGAATGTCCCCAAGGCGGCCGACGGGGCGAGGCGGGAACCAGAAGAGAAAGGCCCGCTGCTGGATTGGATGAAGAACCTGCTGACCACGACCAGCAGAATAATATTCCATATAAAGCGGCGCAGGAGGGGGGGGGGGGAAGAGGAGAAATTCTACAAGAAAAAAATTATAATTCGCATCGTTATGGAATGCAAAGATACAGTTCACAGGAAGAAAACAACAGACAATACATTAAAAACGAGGCGAAAATCAAGGACATTTTTTACAATGGACCCATTATGGCTTGCTCAAGAATACAATCAGATATAATCGTACAAAAATAAAAGCTGACATAACAATAAGCGAAGTAAAACATGGAAATAGTACACGAGTAATCACAAATAATTCGCCTTAATATGAATAATTCATTCCGGTAAGGCTGAAATGCAGAAGAATGCGGGCAAGAAGAAAACGGAAATCGCCATGCTTTAACATGGTGAATTCCGTTTACTTGTTCCTCGCATTCTTCTGCATTTCGGCTTTATGTACCGGAATGGTTCATTGCACGACGGTGGCAATCAGGTAATCACACTTAGGAAACAACTGACACGTTACAAGACACCATGATGCCATTATTGCAAAGGGACTTGGATCCAATGGCACTCGGCAGAGTGGTCCACGGCACATTTTTTCCCAGCGCCATGAGAGAAGAGACCGATAAAACCGACCCCCTTTGTCATCAGACAGTACCGCAGCTCCTTGTGGCAGCCCACGACACAGGCCTTCGCACAGCTTTTCCGACCGCAGTACACATTGAACTGCTGCAACTTTAGGTGCAGCGACGGGTTCGACGAGGTGACGGTCTTGAGCGTGTCGCCGTGGATCCAGGCGTGGGCGCACTTCTTGTCGGACAGCCCGGACAGCGAGACGCACAGCAGGGCCGGCGCCGTCCTGGGGGTGATGGACAGCAGCAGCTCGTCGGCCTCCTTGACGCCCGCCTGCAGGTACTGCAGGGCCCGCAGCGAGGGCAGGGTGCTGATGAGCGGCCGCAGCTGGGGCAGGTGGTGAATCGTGTACTCGTCGCCAAAGTTGTTGACGGTCAGCTTCTCCACGCCGGAGGACGCCAGGGCCAGCACGAGGTCGACGCCGACGTCGCCGGGCACGGCCGCCGGGGGCGAGTAGATGAGCTCGACCTCGCGGAGCTGCTTGGCCTCGCGGAGGAGCCTGGCGGCCCGCGCGGCGGCCGTTCTGTACTGCGGGCTGGTCTGCACGATCAGCTCCAGGACGCGGAGGGACGCGCAGCCGGCCAGGGCCTCCAGCCCGGGGAGGCTGGAGCACGTCAGCTCGCGGAGATGCGGCAGGCCGGCCAGCAGGGGCATCACGGAGGTCAGGCCCATGCAAAGCGGCGAGTCGCCGAGGTGGACCTTGTCAAGGGTAGCGGCGTGCCCGGCCAGGATCCCGTTGGTGAACGCCTCCGTCCTGGGGCAGAGGGTGCACTCGAAGTGCCTCAGGGACGCCGCAGCCACGGCGCTGCTCTGGTAGGCGGCGGCGGTGTGCGACGGCGTGGGCGCGAAAGGCAAAACGGCCACTTCCAGCTTCTCCAAGCCGGTCGTGGACGCGAGGGGGGCCAGAAGGGCGGCGTCAGTCGAGGCGGACACTAGGTCGACCCTCTTGAGCCGGCCGAGCGCCTCCTGGTGACGGATGATGTCCGCGGCCTGCACGGCGTCGTCGCCGTTGCCGAGCAACAGCACCTTGAGCTCCTCCACGGCGCAACGGGTCGACGTGTACGCCGACTGGCGGCACTCGGACGTCGGCAGCTCGGCGTACAGGATGTCGAGGCACGGCGCCAGCCCCAGCACCTGGCACACGAGCGGGTTGGCGTAGCTGAGCGTGCGGTGGCGCCACACGTCCGGGTGCGCCGCCAGGGAGAGAGAGAGAGAGAGAGGCACACGAGCGGGTTGGCGTAGCTGAGCGTGCGGTGGCGCCACACGTCCGGGTGCGCCGCCAGGCCCGAGATCCTCTTGCACACGAGGCGGCAGGCGATCAGGTCCTCTACGTCGAGGTACTGCATCACCGCGAGCAGCGAGTCGTCCGGATAAGCCTCCATGCTTGGCACACTAAGACAACACTGGAAGGAAAAGGATTTCCCTCTTAACTTCACGAAAAATAATGCGATTTGCAAATCATAAATTCACGACTTGATTGTCTTGCTGGTAAAATTCACTCGATTTTGAACACTTTCAGACTCTCCCCCCCCCCCCGGCTGTATTGAGCGGGTCGGGGATACATCCCCAGACATCCCCACCCCACCACTCCCTCCACACATTGCAGCACCTCACCCTCACAGTTACAAATAATAATTCAGTCTAAATGCTATGCGTCAACTTTGCTGGGGATGTAAGGGAGATACAGTAAACGCAGTGTTTTGGGTGTGATCGGCGGTTAACGTCGCCTATGATACCCCACCCGCCGCCCTGTCGCGCACCGCGTGCTTGAGCGCACCCCAGAAACTCTTGTTCCTTCTTCCATGCACAACACGAGATGCCGAGAATGAGGTAAAATGTCGATGAAACCGTTTTAGAGACCGACACTCTTTGAAGACAAATGTGTGACGGACGGCCACAGACCCCCCCC